ACCTACCATCTAAGACTAAAAAGGCACTTAGAATAGCTTGATACTGTGGGAGAGCTCTAATAGTTGGTTAGATCAATCAGTGTCTTAACAGAGTCCTAACAAGTTTCTGATTTAATGGGCTAAGACTATTTTCAGCTGTTATTAGTCTAAATGTTTTTAAGGTTTGACAAGACTCAGCCTGGATTGCTATTGTATTGCAGGCCAGGTATTTCTTCCTGATTATAGTAAAAGCAGGCCATTTTCTTCCCTACAAAAAGGGTCTTCTTTTCAACCGTATTTTTAGTTCTTTCTTTGACTTGTTCAAGAAAACAAAACCAAAGGTGGCAGAGTTATCAAAGGCTGTCCATGGAGGCAGGATAAAAAAATGAAGCTGCTAAGTATGAATTAATCCATCGGTGGTCAAACTTAGTGTAGTACTTGGTTTCTTCTTATTCATTGCTTTTTAGGATGTATGTGTTTTAGATGTCAGGATGTCAGTGTGTGATAACTGTGTGCAGCTAAAAAAGCAGATGTTTAACCAGTTAAATGAAACATCATCAAATATGAACATAGTTCCTAAGGAAAGCAGTACTGAAAATCATGATACTATTAGTGAAACCAGAATAAAATGACTGTTTTTTGATAAAGAATCTGGAATGTTTCTTTGACAACCTAAGCCACTGCAATATTGTCATCTGAGAAAGATATTTGTGTCTTCCTGAGATAAATGGTAAAACTCCCACTCCGTTTGGCTTGGGAAGGATTTGAGCCATGCTATTTTTGCACAGATCTAATCATTCAGCTATTTTTGGTTTAAATTAGAGTAGTCTCAGGACTTACATATGCTGGTTGGTGAGAACTGGATAGTGGTGTTTTACAGGATGAGGATTTCCTGGTGAGTAGCCTGTTCCAGCTGCAGCACCGCCTGCCTGATAGCACATTCCTTTTTAGAGAAGGAGGGAAAAAGGGGTAAATAATACTTAAACCTGTGTGACTTCAGCCAAGGATTTTCCTACCTCAGGGGAATACAGAGCTTTTCTAAATGACCCTTTATTCTGCTGCTGTGTGAGTCTGGACATGATCTAGGAAATCAACCTGTTTATAGCTGCAGTTTTAACACAGCTGAGTACTAGCTCTCATCTTCAAGTGGCTCACTGGGTTTCTAGTGCAAGTTTTTATTGACTAAGAATAGTGGGGTTTAAATATTTAAATAAATATTTTTGTCGTGTTTCAAATTTTAAAAATCAAAATCTATAAAAAATTTAAACCTTTATAAAACTAAAGATCAATGAGAAAAAAATCATGTTTTTGAATTTTATTGATAATGACTGTATTTTGCTTTGTGTGGAACTTGTTGCTGAAAGGAAATCTTTGTTTCTTTTTCATTACTTCCTGAGGTTTTAGGTTTCAGAGCTGTTCATACTGCAGTATTTTCCTGTCAGATTTCAGAGTTCTCAGATACAGAGTGAATGGACAGTTTAGGAAAACTGCATTTGAATTCTGGAGTGTGTTACATCCAAGATGTCTTTCACAGTCCAGATGGAACAAGACCATGTTTGCAGTGGCTGATGACGACTGACCAGTGAGTGAGAAAGCTCTGCTCCAGCTGTTCACGTGGATGGCTTTTCTACTCACTATAATGTCCATTGCAATTGACTCTGCTGGGGATAGTCTTAAAAGCAAAGTGAAAAATACATTAATGGGAATGACTATTCTTGGGTCTTCTGGTGGCTTGAGTGCTACACGTTAGAGGTGCACTGGTGGAAGAACATGTGTTCATTTTACTGTTCCCTGCATAAATGGAAAAGTTCAGTCTTTAGGGCTCTGACAGATATGAAAGCAAGTCAAAAAGGCAGCGAATAGATTTCTTTCCCTCGCCTCAAAACAAGGCAATTTAAATGCCTCCAGTGTTCATTTTCAGCCATTCCCATGGCTGTACAAATAAGGCATTGTAATTCCTACTTTTTAAGAATTGCTTTCCCTGTTTTGATGTAGATGTAATAATTTGCTATCTGATTGTGGACACAGGGTAGCCAAAGACTCCCCTGGCTTTTCTTGTTTAGATCTGAATCCCAAACAATGGTTGTGCCTAATGACATAGCAGAGCACTTGGAAGTGTATGCCAGCACAAGTGAAATCTTACGAAAATCAGAAAGGTGTATGCATGTACCAAGATTACTAAAAACAGAGATTCAAAAATCCTGAGTGAGGTTGCAAAAAAACAAGACAAAAGCAACCTATCTTGCTATAAATCTGGCATAGAAATGATGGGTTTATCAGGACAGTGACCCCTCCCCTTTTAGATTGTCTCTATTTTACTTACAGATTTTTAACCTGAGAAGCCTCTCATTCAACTTCCCCTGCACAGTTGTGAGAGAAAATAGTTTTTTGGTTTTGGTGAAGGATGAAATTAGGTTTTAATTTTCATGCTTTGCCATGCTTGAGCAGTTGAGCCCATAGAGAGGTTACAAAGTATCCTTTGTTTCTTACAGTAAAGTCCTAAGTATTGATTATGATTTTAAAATTAAGTATGCACCATTTGTTTGCTGAACTAACCTCAGAATCACAACCAGGTGAAATGTTCAGAGTAGGAAATCCAAGAGTGCTGAGCTAACAAGATAAAAACAATGGGAAAGGTCCTTGAAGTGTGATACTAAGTATGGATGCAGATGGATTTAATGAATATTTCATCTAGAAGACCTTGTCTCCAATTAAGATCCATGTCTCCAATGAAATGTGAAAAACTACTGTTGTGCTTCTTAAAATTTAACCCTATGTTGCCTTTGTTAAATAATCTATATGTAGATTGGCTTGTGTTCTTTTCTGAGATGGATAAAAGAGGGTAAATGAGTAGACTCGGTTATCTTTTCTCTGTATTGTTGAAGGCTTAAGAGAGAGGTTTTGGCATTCTTTATGTGAAACTGGTGTTTATTTCAGGAATTTACTGAGTTGTATTTGAATATTCTGGTTTTAGTCATTGGAAGATTTCTATAATTATCACCATGTAGGGCTGAAATTTTGTAAGGATGTAACTGTTTGGACAAAATGTAGAAAAAAATCAAAAGCACTGCATTTCATTTTCATCTTCATAGGAAAACTCTTTTCTGTCTGGAGTGATCAGGTTCAAAACCCAGAGAGGCATTAAAGAAATGTATTATAAATATTTATGTAAGCATTTACTGTTATTTAACAGAGTTGCTAGCCTTAGAATACGTGTTTTGACTGTAGGGCCCTTTTGTCAAGCTACTCCAAAGCCTATGTGTCGTAACACTCACACGATATTCTGTGGGGACTTGCATGATATGTAGGCTTTCTTCTTGCCTCCTGGATGGGATGAATACGTTTCTCTCACTGCATCCATATATTTCACAGCTGTTATTTGCTAAGTTTGTTAAGTGGAGACTGAAATCAATAACATTTAGTGCAGACTGGGAAAAAAGCAATGTCAGATCTCTTTTTGTTGTGCAGAGCTCTGTGGTCATGAATTAAATCAAGTTTGCTGTCTCTTTTTTTACTAGTTTTGTTGCTGTTGTGGGATATCATTATTTGTGTCACTGTCATCCTTACGAATTCCACATGTGGGCTGTTACCACATTGTTCTAGGTGTGGAATAAAAAATATTCGAAAGCTTGTATTAAGTATGTGAGAAAGACAACACTGTCACTAGGAGAGAGAATGAGGGCAGGCAGTATGTGGAACAGACTTGTTTGGAGTGACTGCTGTAGTCTCTAGCAGTCAAAGAATTTTTAGATTGTTGTGACCATCAGGGCATAGGTGGGAATTTGAAGGATGGATTTTTGAGGTATTTATAGTGAATTTTTCGAGAGGGAAAATAGGGAATTTCCTGAGAGTGCCTTTGTACTCACTTTGCATTCCTGCTCTGTCATGGAGACTGTGGTCCAGATAGGAAGAAAACTAAAGCAGTTATTTCAGTTGTGGAAAGCACATTGCCTAAGGATTTGTGAACTAATTCCCTAACGACTCTTTGTGACCCTCTGTGAGATGCGGATTTAGCGACTGGCTAAAATAATAACCTTGAGGATCCAACAGCACAGATAGCTAACCTAAGGCTTCCCAGAAGCTGCAGGGGTTATTGCAACCTTGAGGCTGCAGTGGCTGCCACAGTCTCTGTTGCAGAGCTGCTCAGTCCAGGGAGCAAAATTCCACCTACATTAGGCTATTAGGCAATTTTCCCTCACAGAGTGAGTGGAGACAACAGGTTTTAGCCCTGAAATGTGTCCTTATGGCTTCTCAGTTGATTAGGTATATATGTCTTTTGAAGACTAGATTATTCATCTGAACTTATTTTATTTGAAGGAGAAGAAGAACGTATTCCACTAGAATATTAAAACTAAGACAACAAATGGCACATCAGGAAATTACACTTAATAGCTGACTTAACACAAAAAGGAAGTTTTTCTGTATTTAAGGTAAAGATCTTTTGATGATGAGAAGTACAATGGCATACTTTTCTATTTATCTTGAACATGTCGAAGGAGAGGGAAGATACTAGGTTGCTTAAGTCAGTATTTACATGGCAATTCATTATTAGATTTCTGATGACAGACTTGCATTTAGGTTGAAGAGATGGAGATGTGCTTTTCTGCCTGCTTGCCCACACATCCTTTTCTGACTTTCATATTTGCCTCAGACTGCAGCAACTATAGTAGACTGGTGTCTTAAACCACTGCAGAGGATTAGCAGGACTTGTACCCCTGATGAAGAGATTCTACTGAAAAATAAGTAGTTTCTGCTATTTTAATAGAAATAACAACAAAATATTGATTTATAAACCAACCAGAGTACCTCTGCTCGTGGTGTCATTGTTGTACCTTCTGTTCCTTTGCTGCTGATGTAATTGTATTTGAGTTTCATTTAACTCCTTATAGCTGCCTGTGAAGAGGAAATAATTGTAGAATACAAGAATAGTTATATGACCAGTTAATGCAATTTCTTTCTGATGGCACAAAAGTTTAACAGAAGTTTTCATGATAAAGAAATTTTTTTCTTTTTCTTTTTAGGTACCATGATCAACAGGATGTTACTAGCAACTTCCTTGGAGCAATGTGGTTGATTTCAATAACTTTCCTATCTATTGGATATGGTGACATGGTACCTAATACATACTGTGGGAAAGGAGTCTGTTTACTCACTGGAATCATGGTAAGTGTTTCTGAATTTATTCATTGGATATCAGATTAAGTTTGCTGCCATTAATTCCAAAAATTGTTTTCTGGCTTGTAGAGTATATGTACTTACACCATTCCCAAGGTCTTTCATTCCTAGTAATGAAATGGAGGGGTTTCTTCTTTAGGTAAAATTTAGCAGCTGTGTAATGAAATACATAGAAACAAACTCCACGCTGACATAATGCAGAGCTTCAAAATCTCAGCAGTGTCTGTCATTAAATGCTAAGGTATCACATCATCTCAGTTACCTTTGGACATGTGTAATTGGACCTGTACTAATAATGAATCTCCAGTTCTGACTTTTGTTTCTTAAAATTAAGTTACTCAGAAACAAAGAAACACAGTGGTGGCTAATCTTCTAAAGCATTTTGCTTGAGCATATTTTTCTATTCTATTTCTTACAAGTCTAATAATATGTTATCCACAGCATTCTACTGCTTTAAGTGGATTTATGTAGTTCAGTTTTCACTGTAAGAGTTTTTATTGCCACTGATACAATGCAGCAACTGTGTGTATGTATTCAGTATATACTTACTAACTGTACCTAATGTCTGGTTTTAATTTTTCTGTATTGCACCATTTGGTCAAAGTTAGGCAGGGAGTAATGTGATGTATTATAATATCTGGGAACTTTATGCATATCTACAGTAAATTAGAAGTGAAAAAGCTCTGGACTCCACCACTTTTATTTGTATCAACTCCTGTGTAAATGACCTTGTGAATGAGAAGGGCAGAATGAGCATCATATATGCTGTATGTAACAGTAAGATACATACTTGTTTCTGAATTTTTGCTATTGATTGTAATAAAGCAGCTTCAATATCTACCCCTGTTAAAACAGGCATATGGGGATTATGACTGAAAGCAAATGGTAGCAAATAGTTGCCCCTTTTGAACAGATGTTTTTCTGAACTTTTTGTTTATAAGGATGTATTTTGTGTTCAACGAGTAAAATTGATCAATGCATTTTTGTAATGTTTAAGAATTTTTTCCAAATGCTTCTTTTTTTAAAAAAAAAAAAAAAAAAAAACACACCAACATCTGACAGGTTTCAGGTCATTAACCTTTATTAAGAAAGACTTCCAGTACATTTTGCTGGTGGTGGCAAATGCACATCTCCTTAAATACAGCATTTGCAATGTAGTTGAAAGATACAGGCTGAAAGCAGAGGAATGACTCAGAAGGCTTTTTTAACGGCTGTTGGCTAAGCTCAAATCTGCCATCTTCTGGGGTATTTGCCTTTGCTCCTGTTTGTGAGCTGGATTTTGGTGCCAGAGAGAATAACAATTGGTCATAAATTCATTAGGAAAAAATGAGGACAAGCAGTATATGTTGCCACAGGGATGTGCTGAATGGTGACAGAACCCTGTTATAAAGCTTTCCGTCTTCCCAGGCACGGTTTAGAAATAAGAAGCAAATACTTGAAGATGCAGGGATCATCATTTTATTCACTCAAATTGTTCAGCCCTTTTCAGCATGTCATTATGAAAAAAGCTTACAGTAACAGAAATCTAGGACCTTCAAAAGTCCTGCAGAAGTGTGATAATGGTAGCACTGATACTAATCATCTGTGGGTTTCACACTGCTCTTGCAATTATGCTAGTGCAAATAATAGCAGCATCTAGACTGTTATTTTGAACAGTTGTGGGTAGGCTTACAATTTTATTATAAAAACAAGGTAAAAATAAAATCAGAAAAGCAGACTCCAGTTTGTTGCAAATGTTATTCTATACGCTTATGAATGAGCCACACAGAAGCTGAAATTATAAGATATATTTGTCATTTTGCTTATGACAGCACCATTTGGATTCAGATGTAAAATTATTTATGGGAATTGCTTCCATTGCTTTGATGAAAAATGAAAGTACTGATTAATACATATCATTTGCACACATGGCATTTCTTTTTCATAAATGAAACAAGATTCTGTTGAAAATTAGACTTTTAAAATGTATGGGCGATACTCACCTTCATGTCTTTGATTGTTTTTTATGATTAAAAATTCTGCAGCTGCTTTGGAAGCACAAAGGTTCCAATCAGAATTTCATGATAATGAGTTTGGGATAAATAGCTCTAGAGAAGTCATTCTTAACCAAAAAATTGAGCCAGGTATCTAGTATGTGATGATAGATAAAAACAATACTGAAAGTCTTACCCCTAATTACATTTTTAAGGACATCTGCAATATGGCTTTGACAAATGTCATCTCTGAGAAGCAATGGGAGAAACTCAGATGTTGAAATTACTCTTCTATTTTTATTTTTTATATATATTAATTATCTGAAAGATATGAAATATGAAACAGAGAACATAATAAAGAACTATCTTCCAGCCTAACCCTCAATACTAAAAAACTTACAGGTCTTGAATATAATTCTATAAAACCAGTTATTCTTCTGAAACTTGTACAGTAACACATTCGTGTTTTTTGTAGAAAAGATCTTAAAAGAACAGTCTTACTGATTGTTATTTCAATAGGAATGGTTGATGGTCTAATTAAAAGATACACTACGTTAATTGTTGAATTAATGTAACAAATAAAATGAAACTGTGTATGATTTGAAGAGGGAAAATGTAATTCCCTTTTGTCTGAAGTAGCAAATACATTGTTGGATTAGTGTGATCAATACCAAATACGTCAGAGTTTTTGGGTTTGGATAAGGTCTCTGTTAAAATGGGTGTAAGGGGAAACAAATAGAAATACTTGTGAATACAAGAGTAGTTACACAGACCACTGAAGAGTTAATATTGGCTTTGCAAAACTGGTGGCCCATGGAAGGCTCCTTCAGTGTCTTCACCTCAGTGAAGGGAGAGCCCAGGTACCCTGGCTGTCCTCCCACTTCTGCCTCAGGAACTGCTTTCTGTGCAATGGAAATTGGACTGCTCAGGCTGAACTCTGTGTTGTGCTCCAGCCTGGGAAGTAGGCTTTATTCAGTCTGCTGATGGCACCAAGTTGTGCTGGCTACTGAAACTGCAGCTACTGCAATCTTGAGGCACTGGTTCAAGTGACAGCTTTTAAATTCTGCAAATGCATACTGCTGGAAAATACGAAAATTTTTACACATGCTCAGATTATATGAAAACGAAAAAAGTCTTGAGAATCATTAAGAGTAAGCCAGCAAAGAATTCTGATTAATGTATTATTGAACAATTTACTTCTTGATCTTGCAAAGCACTTAAATATGTGAAACTTTAATGAAAATACTGACAGCATAATGCAGAGTTGGTGGCATGGGTTAATGCAGGGATGTTTTTCAGACAGGCACATGAAACTGTATTAGGTACCTCAGCTCAATTAACTATCAGTGTTTTTCCAAGGAGATTTCTGTAGGTAGGGGTAGTAGACTATGGGCCAAGCGGAGTATAAATTGGATAGTAAATGTGTCCTCTGCCCCCTGTATGCATTAGGTAGATCTGCAAGAGCGTGATGGATGGATAGAAATATGGGTGCTGTCACTGTTACCAGAACAGGATATAGAGGAGATGGGGAGAGCTATGGCATCTTCACCATGCCGTGCAGCTCATCGAAGTTTTGTCTGCACTGAAGATGCCATCCATGGTTGTGAGTGCACACCCAAGCAGATCTCTCAGATCCTGGTCAGCAGGCTGAGCTCGGCTACAGGTGGAGCACTTCGGGCTGGTGCCAAGTGGAACTGCTTAGAGAGGCAGCACTTCGACTTCTTTAATGGCTTTTTGGAGTTAGAGACCTGGAGTGGTTTGCCAAATTTTCCTTGCTTTATGAGGAGTATAATTAAGTTAGCAAAAATTTAAAGGAGGGACATGGAAATTGGTAGAAGTAAAAGGAGGGGGCAAGAGCGAGAAGATAGGGGAAAGTGCATGAATATTGACTGTGAGATGGGTAACTTACAGATCTTTCTAAGCTTTTGTACCTATACAAGATAAAATAATGGCAATTATTCCAACTTCAGATACAAGGATCTTTTGCAAGGTTTGAGAGGGGGACTCTTCTCCTTTCACATCCGGCATTATGTGGTGAGCTAGTGCACTTATTGTATCACGCAAGGCTAAGGATGCAGAATCTTCCTGCAGAGCCAACCTCCGACAGTCAGAAGCAGAACTAGCAGGTCAAACCTATGTTGCTACAATAAAATGGCTGAGCTGCAATTGTCCTGTCACAGGATGCACAGGGTGGTTGGCTACAGCTTAGATGAAGATTGCTTTAAATGAAATAACTGTCATTCCAGTGTCTGCCTCACTAATGCTGAAAGTGCAGCTTAAATTGTTCTGTTATTGAAATAAACTCCAAAGAGATAGCTAAGCCTATGAAAGAGCCAAAGAAATTAAGAAAGTTTTTCTCAATTTACATCATAGAAGTGGACAAGATTAGATATTTCTTTTGGAAGATTTTAAGTAGCATCTTTTAACTACAGGATTTGAACACCGCTCATGTAGGTGAAGAATTCTTATTACAGTAGTCGTAATGCAGTCAGTGTGTACAACCTCGCCTTAGGGATACTAGTTTTTATTAGTTCTAAATTGTGAATCAAAAAATAATCAGATCTGATTTTAAAAGCTTCTGTGCAGCAGCTTTTAATGTCCTTGTGGAAGTCTGCATTTATTTCAGAAGAATCACAATTCCTTTCCTATGCATCATGAAAAAAGTGATGAGGATGAGGTGTTTCTGCTATGAGAGTAGAGGACTCTTCATCTAAGGTTAAACTGTGGTGTTTGTGCATACAGTTTTATCTCAGTCTCAGCCTGGTCTCACCCACAAATACAGAGAACTATCTACAAGAGGAACGTGGCACCTAGAGTAGTATAGTTTTTTTCCATATGATTTTTGATGAGCCATGAAACAAGAAGGTTATTTTACAGAACATTCTATGGATAATATACAAAAAGATAAATTATTTTGCATGGTAATGCCTAAAACATTGATGGATTTTTTATGAAAACTTTTGTTTACATTGTTTAATTCTGTAATGAGTTGAAGAAACAACTAATTGTTTATGA